TATTTATAGCCTAATAAATAATACATTATCAGATTATTATTTTGTTTTAGTTAAACTTTTTAATTCCTTTTTTTGGATTAATTCATTTTTATTGGAATATTACTTTTAATTTATTATTTTCTTTATATAATAAATATTATTTACTATATTATTAAACTATTTTTGTTGTATGATATTAATTCTTTTTAATTTTAATTTTATTATTTTTAATTTATGATATTTATATCCTAATAAATAATACATTATCATATTATTATTTTCGTTTAATTAAATTTTGTAATTCCTTTTTTTGGATTAATTATTTTTTATTGGAATATTACTTTTGGTTTATTATTTTCTTTATATAATAAATATTGTTTACTATATTATTAAATATTTTTTTGTATGATATTAATTCTTTTTAATTTGATTGGTTCTACCACAAAGTTATCGGAATACGTAAAAGTGTTGCCACTTATCAACGGAAATCATTAGGATCATCGCCAAACACCTTTATCGAAGGTTTGACATAAATCCTACTAACTTTTTCACCCAACATCACTAGTAGCCACCTAAGACAACCTCTTCACAATCTGTTAGAATCCTCCATCTCATAACACAATGTGCAACAAACTCCTATAAACATTAAAAGTGGTGGTAGTGACTGGGTGATGGTAGTGGTGTTATCGCAGGTGACTACCATCATCGTTGGGTGAAAAATGTTGGTAGGTTTATCTTTGACCTCTAATGAAAATATTTTGTGGTGATACTGATGATTTCCGGTGATGAGAGACAACATTTTTGCGTATTCTAGTGAATTTATGGTGGAACTAATAAAATTAAAAAGAATTAATAGTATACATTAAAAGTAAACTAATAATATAATAATCCAACAAAACATTATTTATTATATATAAAATAAATTAAAAGTAATAATCTAATAAAAAAGAATTATTCCAAAGCAGAAATAAAAAAAATGAACAAAAGAAATTAATGATCCAATAATTTAATATTTGTTAGGATATAAATATTATATATTAAAAATAATATTTTTTAATATATAATAATCTAATAAAAAAGAATTACTCTAATAAAAAAATCAATTAAAATAAATTAATAATTCAAAAAAAAATATTTATTAATATATAAATATTATAGATTAAAAATAGTAATTATTCATATATAATATTCCAATTAAAAGTTCAAATTAAAAAAGTTTAATTAAAAGAAATTAATAATTTTAGAAAATAAGATTTATTATTATATAAATATTATATATTAAAAATAACATTTATTAATATGTAATAACTTAAGAAAATTAAAAAGAAAATATCAGGAAATGATCAGTAGTTTGGCTGTAGAAATGATCCATGAAGGTAAAACAATCATTTTAAAAAAGTTAACAGTCAATATGTTAAAGTTAACAGAAGAGATATTAAAACTACAACAAAACTTATTAAAATGGATCAAATTTACAACTTGGCAAAAATTTGGACCTTAACCATATAAATTAAAATCCATATGGACGAGTTTTACAAATTTGTAAAAAGCAAACTATATAATATTTTATGTAGTAAACCCAATTTTAATAGACTATTGTAAATCATTTTGATTTGATAATTATTTAATTTTCCACTCTAGCAAGTAGTTGACAGAAAGTACTCTATTTATATGAATGTTCCGTATAAATAGTAAGTCCGCCAAAATTATATAAAAACTTCATTAATGTAGTACTAGTACTTGAAACATCAATTAGTAAGTATAAGATAACTTTGGACTCTTTCAAATGATTACGATGCTTTTACAAAACTTTAGCTCAAAGAAACTTATCTAACGTTATGTAATTAGACAATCTTCAATTGAATATTAAAACACCATTTTAGAGGCAAAAACATTGGTTATTTCATTCTAAAAATCATTATTTTAATTTGTGGGATAACTTAGACACCAAATACAAAGGCCAAAATACATGACCACTAAAAATCTCCACTTTATTATTTGATTGGATTAAAAACACAATTTTAATTTTAATGTTTTGGCATTGGAGTTGATTTTACTAGTTATTGGTGTCAAACATTTTTGTTTCGAAATTTTTTTAGGAATATACTTTTGATGCTGTGTTGGTGATTAACTCTCTCTCTCTCTCTCTATATATATATATATATATATATATATATATAATATATATATATATTATATATATATATATATATTATATATATATATATATATAATATATATATAAAAGAGTTATATGGAAAACCAATATTAACACAAAAACATGGTTTTAGAGTAATTTAATGAATTCATCCTTAAAATTTAGTTAAAATTACACTTTCGGTCCCTATCATCTTTCTTTATAATTTATATATTAACCAACAATATTAACCGTTCCAAATTCCTACCTTTTGAATATGCTTGACCTTGTTTTTAGATACAACAAAAGACATTGGCTATCTTAAGTACATAGTTTGAATATGTTTTTAATGTTTTGTGGCATTCACTGAACACTTATAATAACACCATTTATTCTAGACTAGTGTTTCTAAAGAAAGAAAGAAAACATAACAAATTTCAATTTTAATACAAACCAAAACATGGAATAATGTTTCACAACAGTGACTATCGAAATACAAAAAAAAAAAAAAAAAAAAAAAAAAAAAAAAAAAAAAGCATTCCAAGTAAAACCTTAAATCACTGGGTGGGGTGTAAAGTAAAGTGAGTCAAGATCTCAAGTCGTCTTCACTCTTGATCGATCAGGGATTAAGTAATTTAACACCATCTTCAAACCTTCAACCAATTTCAACAGATGATCAATTCGTAAATCAAGAACAAACAGGAACTGATTTTGAAATGAACAGATGATTTAGAGACGAAAGAAAAAAAAATCGATTGATTAAGAAAACTAAATCGATGATAAAATTCGTTTTACATTTTCTAGAAATCGACGATCATATGCAAAAATAAAGTCGGTGCTTTGTAGTTGGAGGCGGAGAAATCGGTGCATACGCTAGATATGGGTCGCCGATTGGAGATCGATGCTTCATCCATTCAGCGTTCGCAAGAGCGTGAGGGAGACGGTGACTAGGGCAAAATCCATACACGAAAGGGATATGTGGGTTTCTATACGAGTTCAGGCGGTCACAGATGGGAAGGAGACTGATACTTGAACATGGAGCATGCCAACCGGTGGGGATGTGGGTTTCGATGTAAGGAGCTGATGGAGGAGCAAATAGGGGAGTTGTATTTTAATTGAATGATATTTGAATTCTATTTGATTGTTATGGACTAAACAAACAATTTTAAGGAAACTATACAGATTAAATGTGTAATTTTAATCATTTCAGGATGTTTTTTTGTAACTATAATATGTTACGTGTGAATAAAGAAATGTATATTTGTCAATTTTTGATTGCGTTCTAATTGATGCCCTAAATATTTATTTTCGATAGAACCTTTATATATATATATATATATATATATATATATATATATATATATATATATATATATATATATATATATATATATATATTTGTCTTCAATTAGACTTGAATTCTCAACATAAGATTAAGGGTGAATAATCGGCACGGACGGACCGGACCGAACCAAGAAATGTTTTCATCAAGCGCAGCGGTTTTCGGTCCTTAATATTGTCTTATATAGGTTTCATGTATAAACCCAATCAACGTCGTTCCAAATATAATTTGGTTTAGGGCGAGAGGAATAAAAGACCCTTAAAATACATGAATTTCATCAACTTTTTTATTTTTAATAATTCAATAATTGAAAGAAAATTACTTGTATTAGCATATATATATATATATATATATATATATATATATATATAATATATATATATATATATATATATATATATATATATATATATATATATATATATATATATATATATATAATAAAGTCCATAAAATTCGAACCATTTTAAAAGATGGCTCTGGATGGTCGTCCCTATTGCTCACACTAAGGGACGAGCCTGAACCCAATTTGATACAATCGGTTCCGGGTAAAAATCAGGAGATGTCGTGAAGGTGATGAGACCAAATATATCATCTTCTTTAAATGGTTACAACTCATTGGTTTGAAAAAAATGCTATTAAAAATTTTCAACATGTAGTTTACTTTTTGTACTTTATTTTAAAAAACAAAATCAAATTATTTAATTACATATTGATTGAGTTACAAGTCTAAGAAGACGAGGTATCAAAACTAAATTGTTTTCAGTTTCAGGCTTTCAATATTATCTACTTGTACGAACTACATAAACACATATAACAGTTTCAATTGGGTAGTAGATCGAAAATCAAGACTAACATCGTGGTAGGCTAACTGTTCCGGTTATTGGTCCTTTTGAATCATCAACACAGGTTTCGGTTCCGACCCGATTCGGTTAATATGTTCACCGATATTGAACATGTGTCCAACATCACATGACACCATTATCTCAATTTTAAATTAATATTATAGGCTATTTTCTTAGGTGTATTAAATGTTTGAAAATGTCTTTTTTTTTCTCTAGATGTTAGGTTTTAAGTCTCGTATACACAAATATGTAGTTTATAAGTAGTATTTGGAAGACATGTTAGAAGTTTAAAAAAAAACAAATTTAAATTAATACGCAATTCGTTGCATTCTTCTGTTTTTACTAAAGCGAATTTTTAAGGAATAAACAGTTAATGATGCCCTTTTATTAAAATTACGTGTCAAATCTAATATTTTACTTTTTAAAATTAAATGTATTAAAAAACACACTCCCAATTGATTATTCAATATTCGGATAGGAGGTGTGCATGCATATATTGCATTAAATAAACAACATATTCCTCATGCCTCTTTATTATTAAATACTTACATCAAAGTCTTTTAACACACCCTTCCCATCACTCCCCATTTTTTCTCCACCTCTCTATCTCTTTCCTTGTGATCACCATTAATACCAAACCAACACACAGAATTAATAACCATACAAACCCCCTTCTACACCACTAGGGATCAACATCATGAAGTTTATTCCTTCTCTATTATTGCTCAACAAAAACAAAGAAACATGGCGATGGCCTTCTTGTAAGAACCCCAAAACCATGTCTTTTCGGATAAATTCTGGTGATATGATGTTTAAAACCGTCAATTCTGTCTTTTTCGACCCCAAATATACACATCCGGCTGAAGCAGAAGCAGAAATGACCACCCCAGATTCGTTCTTCACGAACTCGTCAGAATCTGCTAGTATATCATCGGAGTCCGAGGAGTACTTAAACACTAATGAGTACACCTCGGTTGAGAACATTGTTCGTGGCGCCAGGTCAGAAAGATTGTTTTTTGAACCTGGCCCAACTACTAGTTCGATTCTTGAAGGTAACAAACAATGTGTGGATATACTGATTGAGAGTAGTGGTGGTCGTCGTGATGACTGTGGTGGCAATGGTGATATACCATATAAAGAAAGTGTGGCTGTGGCGATTGAATCTGAGGATCCACATGGGGATTTCAAGAAATCTATGCAGGAGATGGTGGAGAACCATGGATTGAAAGATTGGGAGTGTTTGGAGGAGTTGTTAGGGTGGTATTTGAGGATGAATGGGAAGAACCACCATGAGTTGATTGTTGGGGCCTTTGTTGATTTGCTTGCCGGAATTTCTGGTGGCGATGGCAGCAGTGGCGGCAATGGTGGAACTGGTGGTGGTGGAGCTTCTTCTTCCGATCATTCTGTAGATTCTTTTGCTTCTGTGGCTTCTACTTTCACTTCACCCATCACTTCTCCTCCTTTGTCCAAACGTGGTGGTGAGAAGGAGATTATTGAGGAAGGCAAAATAGTCATTAATTAATTATTTATTTAATTACCCAGCTTCGATATTTTCTAAGATATAGAATTAACTTGTATTTGTATATAATATATATATATATATATATGTAGGATGATCATTTCAATTCCCTGATTCTGGGTTGTTTCACAATAAGATTGGGATGTTATTTATCACATATTAACGGTTGGATATCATCATTTCGATCCACTAAAAAGTCTATATAACTAAGTTGTATTTTATCTACCACAGATGAAACATAAAATTTAGAAACTTAAATTGTAAATGAAAAACGATAAATGGGTCAAAACTCAAAGGAACCATATTTATCTTAGTATATTTTAAATCACTTTGTTAAAAGAAAATTTATTATTTTAAAAGTTATGTTTGTGTCGTCAAACTTTTTTTCTTGAGTATTGTATTTTTTTCCCAAATTATTTATCATAGATAAAGTTGAAATAAATCTAAGTTTTAAAAAAATATAAAAACAAAGATATATATATATATATATATATATATATATATATATATATATATATATATATATATATATATATATATATATATATATATGTTGTTTAGGTTAGAAGATGTCTGAAGAGATTAGAAGATTTTGATCAACATTTGTGCCAAGAAGAGGACGTGCTGACCATTTAAGGTTTGCAATCTTCAGAAAGACAAACATTCTGCGAATACTAATGTTTGCGCGTGGTCTATGCGGTGCAGACAAAAGAGGTCAAGAAGATATTCAAACAATAAACAAACAACATCTTATTGTTTTTATTATATTACTAGATTATAATCCGTAGAAACAATTATTTGTATGTTTAAAATTATTATATATACAAAATAAATATTAAATGTAAATAAAAAAAGTTATAGCTAAAGAAGGTAATTAGGATAATGTATCTCTGATTTATTGGAATACATTAAATCTAAGATATTTATTATGATTATTAAAAGATAGACATCATAACATTAAAATCCGGATAGGTTGAAAGCCTCGAAGAGGGCGGTCCAGATAGACTGAGGACCGGGACTCGGTCCAGTCAGACTGATGGCTCATTATGCATATTGTTTGCTTATATGTTTATATGATATGATACTATTTGTATGACATGGGTATTTTGGAGAGACTCACTAAGCTTCGGGCTTACAGTTTCAGTTTTTGTTTCAGGTAGATCAGATAATCGTGAGAAGGAAAATGCGTGATCATACAACTCCTCATGTTTATGATTTGTTTATGGGATACTTTGATATTATACTATTTTGAAAACAAGTTTTATAATAATTAATGATTTTGAAATGTTTTGAAAAAGTTTGAATTTGGTCTGATTTTTATGGATGTTACAAGTTGGTATCAGAGCCTTGGTTTGAGTGAATAAGAGGAAACACTCGTGTGCCTCCAGTCTCAAATGGAGGACAAGATTATAAAACGATTTTCTTAAAATGTTTTCAAATAATAAAGGAGGATGCAAGTGTACAATCAGTCGGAGCTCGCGGATAGACCTCAAAATACCTTACAGATTATTTAATTTATGTGATATGTTAGAACAACATGCAGGTACTATGTTAGGGATCTTCAGGAATTGCATGATAGAATTGCATGATATATGATGCATGGTAGCCTAGGGTTTTCCATATGTGACATTGACATCATTACTGTAGTTGCTTAGTGTATGCATTATGGTTGTACATAATTAAGATCTTTTAGCCTGAGTATGTTTGGTTTGGGCTTATTTCCTGTTCTTGTTCGATGAAGGGCTTAGGGTAGGATCGGGTATTCGAAAGACTATAGGGTCCAGCATTATATATGGCTAACATACACGAGTGCTGCAGGGTTGGTGGAAGTTACATGGATGTATGGGTTGTTGGGATGAGTCCGCCAGTTATGAGATATTTAGTCTCCCTTTAGGAGTGAGGACTGAGCGCATGCCATGCTTATGTATGGTTTTAGGGCATTGTGATGATACTTGAGACAGATATGGGTAGGTGTGGAAGGTAGTATGGGCTCGTACTACTGAAAGCACATAACCCATACGCATAGCAAGGAAGTCACGACCCCTAGGGTTTTAGTTGGGAGTTGGTTCCCGGATTGTTATGTAGAATATCTTATATCTGTTTGGTATGATTACAGCATGGTGGTTACACGACGATTCGTAACTGGATCCGGGTCAGGATCAGGAGAGGGCGGACAGGAGGCGCCGACAGCATCCGAGACTATCGACCAGATGAGGCCAGACAAGATGGACGACAGGATCCTAGAGATCCTGCATGATGAGGTCGCTGCTATGTTTCAAGCTTAGTTTCCGAAGATGTTTGGGTCTATCAAGACTGCAATGGTGGAGTAATTCAATGAGCGATATGCAACCTGCACTCAGGCGGCTGTCGTAACAGCCACAACAGTTGTATTGACGACAACATTGGGAGTTGTACGGGCTTTTCAGTACTGGGACTTCGACAACACGAATCCCCTACTTTTGATAGAACTCAGGATCCCATCAAAGCCATGATGATTTTGTCTGACCTGGAAGGGTGTTTCTTCATGTGCTTGTGTCCTACTAACCAAAAGGTTAAATGTGCCCTGAACTTGCTGAGGTCCGAGGCAAATGATTGGTGCAGACTGATGATTGGGTCTTATTCGGATGACCAGAGAGCTGCGGTTACTTGGGAGAAGTTCTGTGATATGTTCCGCGCTCGCTACATTCCACGCATTGAGGGGGAACGGCTAACTCAGGAGTTTTTGGAGTTGAGACAGGATAGTGAGATAGTGATGGAGATCACCTGCATGTTCACGGAGAGGGTGATGTTCTGCCTGGAGATTGCCTCTGAGCAGGCTCAAATGACACGTTATCTGAGCATGCTCTAGACTAACATCTGCCGGTTTGTTGCTACTCAACTATGTGATACCCTGTTAGATCTACAGTAGACCGCTAGGCAGCGTGAGTTGGAGATTGAGATGCAGTTAAGGGAGCAGCGGCATGCCCCGACACAGTCACAGCTGGTGCCGAAGCGGTTTAAGACCGCTGATTCTAGAGTAGGGGGGACAGCAGGGCTGCACTTGTGGCAAATATGGGAAGGGTCATTAAGGGTTTGTAGATTGGGTAATGGATGTCGAAAATGCGGCCATGAGGGGAATTTCGCGAGGGAATGTCACCAGACGGCGCCGGTTCAGGATATGAGGATCTGCAACCACTGTGATCAGGTTGGTCATGTGAAGACCAAATGTCCGCAACTCGCTGCTAGGTCGGCGCATGCTCCAGCGTCGGCTACACTGAGGATTATCGATAGAAGGAAGGGTAGAGCAGAGCCCCCGAGTGCTCAGGGACGCGCCTTCCAGCTTATTGCTGAGGAGGACAGAGTAGCACCGGATGTGGTTGCTGGTATGTTTCTCTCCTTATTCTCATTTATTATATCTTTTTTACGCTTATCTGTTGTACTTGTGAATAGGTACGTTTTTAGTGAACTCCTTTCCTGCATTGGTTTTATTTGACTCAGGGGCGAGTCGGTCATTTGTATCTTAAACGTTTAGTGGGGAGTTTAGTATGTTAGTAGGAGAGCTAGAGTTTCTATTGTGAGTCTCTATCACCAACGAACACAGGGTTTCTGCTTCTTCAGTCAATCGAGGATGTGTGTTGGAGATCTTCGGGGTGTCTTTATCGATCGACTTGATTTTGATCCCCATGAGGGATGTGTGTGTGATTGTGGGTATGGACTGACTTAGTTGTTTCAGTGTCATGATCGACTATGAGGTTCAGTGAGTGGCGGTTTGAAACCCAGGCAAGGGAGAACTGATTGTCTATGGCGAGGGTACCAAAGTGAGATCAGGGTTTTGTTTAGCTACCAGGGCTAGACAGTATATCTAGAATGGGTGTGTGGGTTATCTAGCGTATGTGGTGGACACGTGGGACAGAGATCATATTTCAGTTTCAGAGGTTCCAATGGTCTGGGAGTTTGCAGATGTGTTTCCAGAGGAGTTACCAGGGACACCTCCAGAGAGGCAGGTTGAGTTTTGGATCGACCTGGTGCCAAGTGTGACCCCTATCGCCAAGGCGTCATACCGATTGGCACAACCACAGATGTAGGAGCTGTCATCATAGCTGCAGGAACTGCTGGGCAAATAGTTCATTCGCCCGAGCAGTTTTCCATGGGGAGCACCTATCCTCTTCATCAGGAAGAAGGACAGTTTGCACCGGATGTGCATTGATTATCGGGAGTTGAACAAGTTGACGGTGAAGAATCGATACCAACTCTAGAGAATAGATGATCTATTTAACCAGTTACAGGGTGTATCTTGGTTTTCCAAGATAGACTTGAGATATGGGTATCATCAGGTCAGGTTCAGAGAGGACGACGTGGAGAAGACCGTGTTTCAGACTCGTTATGGACATTATGTGTTCATGGTGATGCCATTCGGGCTCACCAACACATCAGTAGTGTTTATGGACTTGATGAATCGGGTTTACAGATCGATGCTTGATCGCTTAGTCATCGTTTTTATAGATGATATCTTGGTATATTCCAAGCCCCCGAGAACAACATAAGGAGCACCTTCGAGAGTTGTTGGGAGTTTGAGGAGAGAATGGCTTTATGCCAAGTTCTTGAAGTGTGAGTTTTGGTTACGAGAGGTCCAGTTCCTAGGACACCTCGTTAACCAAGAGGGGATTTTGGTGGACCCGGGCCAAAATCGAGGCAGTCATGCAATGAGAGGTTCTGAAATATACTTCAGACATTAGGAGTTTTCTAGGATTGGCAGGATACTACCGGAGATTCATACATGATTTCTCAAAGATTGCAGTAGTACCCCTCACTCGTCTGACGAGGAAGGGGGTGGTCACCATGCAGAGAGGATGGGTGATAGCCTATGCATCGCGGCAGCTGAAGCTGCATGAGACGAGATACCCTACTCATGATCTAGAGTTGGGAGCGGTGGTATTCGCTCTTAAGATTTAGAGACATTTCCTCTATGGGGTCCGATGTACCATATACACGGATCACAAGAGCCTGAGACACATCATGGATTA